ATCTTCGTACTTGTATCGCATGTGTGCAGTTATGCGGTTGTATTATATGTATTAAAAATGTGTATTATTTTGCGCAGCCGGTCGAAACGAAAAAATATCTCGGATTGGTCTGCAACTGAAATTGCCACCGAAATTTAATCGAGCTCCGAGAGTCGAGACGCCGATTGGGGTCGCGCCTCTGGTTCATACTTGCTACGTGTTCTCATGAAAATAAACTAAATATAAATATTTGTTATTGTTCTACTTCAATTTTGACGATAAGTCAAAGTTTGATATACACGCCAGGCCAGATGTATTCATTTCATTTCATTTCATTTATTAATTTCACTCTCTTTTTAAAACATAAAAAGTATATAGATGTTTGTTCATTATCAACATAAGATAAAAGGTAGTGGGGAATCATGAAAGCCAAAATTGGCTTAATGAGAATGATCATAAAACGTAGGGGAAGGATGTGCTAAATTTTATACGTGCTTGACATTGGAGTTCGCAAAAGCAACAAAGTGAGGAGATGTGTCCCACCTGAAAATGAAACTGAAACATCGCGCGCCCCTTCTGGGACGACACTCACTAAGTCCCGAAGGGTCTATCACCCGTCTTGACTGATATACACAGAATAACGATAAAAGAACATAACAGGATCAAGAATGCAATGCGTGTTCCTTTTCTATCTAAAATATAGTTTACGACATCGAGCTATTAGGACGATCGCAAATACTTTCGAAAAATCAATACAATTCAATTCAATAAGCTTGTACGACACCTCTTGAAATGTGCTAACATGACAATGACGTATTACTCAATCTAAAATTGTTTCTACTGGACATACTATAGGATGATAACATTGTTTTGGGGTTGATTTTTCAAGAGTATACAATTGCTATCGTATTTATTTTATGTATTTTTCTTAGCCACATTTTTGTTTCCAGAAAAAATGTGGCAACATTTCATCATTGCAGCACTTTCATCTCTCATAAATTTTCAGGGACAAAATGAATAAAAAGATGAATCAAACTACAATCACATAATACTACTTCGTAAACGAATTCTCTTGAATTTACTTTAAAGGCATCGTTTAACAATGTTTCCAGTTTTACAAATATGAGATGCATGGCCCTAGGTGGTATCAGTGCCAGTGATATGGTGTAATATTGAAGCCCTAAAAAAAGTTTCAAAATGATCATGAAGTGCCTCAAAAAAGAAAAATCTTTGAGTGACCGGTTTACCATACTCATGTTTCCCAGTAGACTGTAGTGTTATGAAAACTGTTAGGAAAACGGTTTTTGAAATTTCAATTTCCAATCATAAATATCTTGATAATCAGACAGGCGATCGGGCATGTAAAAATCATGGGATTTCTGACGGACCTAAAGGTTTATAATTATGATTGCAGCGTGAGCTAAATCCAGGATTTTTTAGAATTGAGAATCTGAGACAAAGAAACACAATCCTTTAAGGGTTTTCTCGTCACTCTACACTGAAATAATACAACCAGAACGAAGTGTATTCTAAATCATACAAGAATACCATACGATTAGTTATCATACAAAGACTTACTTTATGCAGGTTATGCTAGTAAAAATAATATTCTTTTAAAACTATTAGACTTTAAGTAACATATTCATGATTCTATAGTTCCTTGACATGAATATTATCTGATGATAACTCGGAATTATTCCACCCAGAATGTTTACAGAAATCGACAAGTTGAGTGCCTGCATTGGCAACTGTGTTGTTAGTTACCCCCAACATTTCCATCTACTTAATAACCACGTTGTCCAAGAAATATTCAAATATGGCGAAATTACTATTTCATTTGCTCGATTCACAACTTTGTTTATTTACAGTTCAAATAAATTAATTGCATTCGTTAACACAACATAATATTCTGTATCACCTGAGTGGTAACCATTAATGCCACAAACGTTAGGTAAGAACGATATCGATTCAGAACCTCTACCAGGAAGAGTAAATGTAAGCTGAAGTGTCCAGTATTTCAGTGCTGCAGTATTTCAACTTCATGACCAAACCAATCATATCCAATTTAGACGGGGAACTTTCAAAATGAGCAACTCCACGCACCAAATCCTCTAATAAACTTATTGGCCCGAATTCACAAAGGAGGTTTACATTTAACCCATGGTTAAAACCCTCATTTTCATAACCCATGGTTTAGGAGTATCGTGAAATAAGCGCAACGCAGTAAAGAGGTCCATTATTAGACGCGCGCAAGGTGAAGGACGTTTTCGTTCCACTAGATATGCCGAGAACGGCGTCGTTTGTTGCACGAATTTACATAAAAACGTTAAAACACCATAAGACATTTGAAGCAAGGGGTAAAATTCAACAGAATTGACACATTGCTTAGTTCTTCAATTAAAAACATGGAAAAGCTGCAATCGTCGTAACTGAATTGAGTATATCACAAATTTGTTCAAAACCTGGCAAAAGACGCATGACTTTCGAACAAAAAGTTATACCAATCCTCGTCAGCTTTTGTTGTGTGTGTGTATAATTTCGCCTTTTAGCTATATCTTATGACTGCATTGCTTGTTAACATGGTAAATACATTTTCCTTGTCATTTTTTTATAATTTAAAAAAAATCAAAAGGCCTAAAATTGTGTTACCACGAAAGAGTCATTCCACTTTCTTACTTTGTAATTCAAAACAGATCTCATATAAATTTCGATGTCGAGAAAAATGTTGTCGCCAGTTTCATGCATTTACAAAATAAATTATGGCACCATGTGGTTTCAAAGAAAAGGGAAACATTCAGTGAAATGGAAACATTGCTAAGCGCTCCGTTTGAAATATGAAAAGTTGCTATTGATGTAATTGATTTCTGGCTCTGAAGAAATTGTTAACAAATTCAAAATGCGTATTAATTTTCATCGAAGTTGTCGTAGTCGGTCGTCGGTTTTGTAATCTATCGCCTTTTAGCCCCTCGATTTCATTGCTCGTAAATGCATTTCTTAATCATCTCGAGTAAGTGGAAAATGACTTCTCCGGCTTTTTAGGGTTATGATCTCTCCTTCTTCTATTTCTTAATTTTAAAGCCGACGAAGACTATCAATTATTCATGACCTGTTGGTGGTTTAGGACTAGTAAAGAGTTAATACTCCTAAAATGTTTTCCGACACTTTCAGAGAGAATGACATGTGGTGGGATTCGAACGGGGGCGACGTCGGGAGGTCTGTCATGGAAACCCCGCAATCGCAAATAAATGAACTTCGAGGAATTTCATTACTTCTTAAAAAAGAGGTAGGGGCTCAAAAAGGCAAATCTTTAGAGGGGGAATATTTCGGCATCTTTTTCTCCTAATTGTGTGGTTTCTGATGAAGAATCTCCCTGGCTTTTTGATGGAACTTGTTTCGAGAGCATCGACTCTAGGGGCGACCCTTAGGGTGCTCTCATCGAGCGTAATTTGAAACAGTAATTCTCCCTAATATGAGTTTTAATCCCCTAAATCGCGTACGGCAAGTCAAAAGAGAGACGGATGCACTTAATTCGCGGTTGTTTTGTTGAGTTTAGCTGGTGGCAGCTTGTAGCAATCGTTGCGAATAGGACATAGTTGATGGCTGTCTAAGATAGAGCGGCGCCGAGATTGGTTAAGAAGAATAGAAGGGGCACATGTAACTGTATCAATTGTGGGGATCCCAATTGATTAATCTGAGTACAAACTGGAAAATTGGCGATGAATGGGCCGGAGATTGTATCGTATGTTTGCTAAATCAGTTTCACGCTGTAAAGTGTGAAAAATATTAAGGAGGCAAAGAAAAGGAGTTGCGCATGCGCGTTTGCCACCTGTGCGAAGTTTTGGGGGGCCTTGTTGGCGCGGCGGGGCAGGGGAGAGGCTACCAGTCAGGAGGCCGTCGTTTGGGGAGTGTTTCTGACTGGTTCTTCGACATATGGTGTGCAATCAGGCCCCAGCAGCCACGTGCCGCTTAATGTAATGAATTGGCGGCGTGAAATTAGAGATTTGGCCAGCCTTTGAGGGAGCCCAAGATCAGGGGGACGTTTGGAAGGCAAATCGCCGCGCCGCTTGGCTGGGGATGAAAGTCGAGGTTGAACCCCAATGTTTCCACCAATCGGAGCCGAGTCAAACCAATCAGGCACCCGTCACTGGCCGAGCTCATTTTACAAAAGCAATTTATCTCACGATATCCCTAGAAAAATAATTGATGGTTGAGAAACTTATTGCGATTCATAGCGCAAGACTGTTTTTCTCGGCATTTCGCATTCATGAGCATCTCTCGTATTTTATTGGCGGCGAGTAAAACACAAGTTCATCTCGGCAAACTCTGCCGTGTAAATCACAGCTGGGGCCGCCGGATTTTTTTTACGAGTTCTCTCAGACGTAGGGGTAGATGGGGGAACGTATACCGTGTGGGCTTGTTAAGCCAGCATCTGCTCAAAATCGAAAAACAGGTATATAAGTTGATGGACGTTTCGCGCGAGCACTCAAATTGCGCGCGGTGCACGGAGCGTCGACTCGATGCGTTTTAGCCACCAGTTGCCCAAGTGTTGACGACATTGTGCCGAAACTGAGACGCTTCGCTGGCCTCTCTCCCCTTTTCGCCCACTTCTCTCTCGAACCCCGATGATATATTGGCCCGGCGCACTCGCACTCGACCAGGTGTCACAATTTTGTAATTAAGCCACGGAACTCTGTTTTCGCCTCCTCTCTGTAAATCATAATTCATTCGTAGGGATGATTTGATTCGGTGAATACGAATCAATTACTCGATTTCTCGACAGTGTCCTCAGTTTCGTCACCCTCCCCATCTCCTCGTTAAAACAAAAGCTTCTGACGGCTTCTTGCCTCTCACTCTCATCCCCAACTTTCCTCCTCCACGAAAAGCCCTTCAACTTTCTTCCCATCCTCTCCAAGACCTTCAACCGGAGCGCATCATCTCTTCGGGGACTCTTCGTCGTCCGTTTCTTCTGTTACCCAACTCGTTTTTTCGCATTGTCGACGTCGGCGCGTCGTAGTAGTAGCATGTCTCTCAAACTCGGAGTGGCGGTGGATTCCCCGCATAGCAGACTAGCAACCTGTGGCTCACCATCGGAAAGCATGAAGTCTCACCTAGCAGCTCCAACTCCTCTCTCGGCTCGCTCATCCTCCCAGCGGCCTGCATCAGCGCCCATCATCCAATTCTTTCCAAGTGCAGCGGCCAAGTCGCTTCCAATCTCGATGGTCAACCCCCACAGTAAGTTATCTCATTTTTAATCTCAACTAATACTGCTGTGGCATTGTAATAGCCTATTACTTCGACCGGGGAGTATTTAAACACCCATTTTTTAATCTATCTTATTTAATCTATCTCACCGAGTGTGCGTGATTGTAAATAATTTGTTGGTTGAATTGCTTTATTTAACGGTGAACAAACATAATTATATCAATGCCTATTAGGCTTGTAATTTATAACTATGGTTGTATGCATTTGACCGTGGCTATTGAAGTTGAACCAATTTTTGCCATAAATCAAAATAAACTCTGTCTCTTCACGGAAGAAAAAGCAGACAATATGTATCAATAGGATAAGCTTTTGATATATACTTCAGTCAGAGTTCCTTAAAAACTCAACTTTATTTTAACGTAGCATTATTTTTTACAAGCCTTTTACGAGAGCGATGAATAATCATATTAATAACTGCGATAGATAATGTTGCTCGTAAAGCTTGAATGTCAACAGAAATAATTAGCACCTTCACAATTGGTACTTTCAAATTTCACGAACGAAATAGAGATGAGGGAGAGAGAGGAAGAGACAGGGAGAGGGGGAGAAAGAAAGAGAGAGAGAGAGAGAAAACAAACATTGATCAAGGGGAAGTGGACAATGAGAGAGAAAAGGAGAGACATAGAGACAGAGAGAGGGGGTGAGACAGAGAGAGAGAGACAGACAGAGATGGGCGAGACAGAGAGAGAGAGACAGAGAGAGAGGGGGAGAGAGAGAGAGAGAGGGAGAGAGAGAGAGAGAGAGAGAGAGAGAGAAGGGAGAAACCAGAAGGAATCAATGTTATCAATGCCTCTGAACATAATTATGACTATATACAAGTGCTAACTCGCCCTGCCAATTTATTCATATTTATGTACAATGCACTTCAGGCACACGTGGGGCTAGCGCGACAGTACTTGATACTTTATTGGAAAAAGTCAATTGGTCGGCACACATTTAGCATTGTTCGGAGCCGATTTCCAAAGTACTTTTAATAAACACAATCGTTTAGGAGGCACAATCGACCGATTTATTTCACAATTGTGACACGAGTCCCATATTTGGGTTTCTTGCGTCACTATGGGTTGGGGTATCCGCACTTAGGGGGGTTGACTTTTGCCCCCATTCCATACCCCTTTTGTGACAATGGGATCTAGATCACCTCTCCGCCGAGGGAAAAGAACAGTCAACTTTGCGATTTCTCTGCCCCCACGCCCTCTCTCTCTCTCTGCCTCTCCCCACCGCTCTGCCCATATTATGATCCGTGTTGAACTTGTGTTTGCGAGGGAACTTTTAGTTGAAAAACAAACGCGCGCGCGCCTTTTTTTTTTTTTTTTCTCTCTCTTCTTTTTCGGTGAGCGATGACCGTCTGACGGGGTGCGAATATTGATACAGCCTCTAGGATCGGCAACGATTCTCGAATCGGGTCGCCCGATATGTTTGCAAAGTGCTCTCTAAATTCCCCTCCCTGTATTGACTCTAGCCCCATGATACGCTGTCAATCTAATTCTACCCTCCACAAAAAAATATATCGCCCAAGAAACATTCAAAGGAAAAACCATTACAAATTGCATTTGTCTGAATTTCGACACCCTTCAGTTGTGAAAGAAACCTCATTCCCCCTAAAGCCCACACTATATGTATATATTTATCAACTGAATTTGTTTCTGTTATGATTCCATCATAAAATACATAAAATTAAAACATAAGAAATGCAAATCCATACAAAAACATAGAAATTTACAATCAATGAGAGAAAGACGAAATCTGTACAGAAATAAAAGTTCAAAATTGATAGCAAATAGATTGACCTAGACTCTAACGGTAATAAAACAACAGATCAAATGTAATAGTAATAATAGTCCACTTCAGAACAGTGGCAATTTGAAATCTTTACATATCATCTGCGGTAAATTTGAAAAGTAAACGGAGCGCACGTGCCAAGGATTTAGCTCGGTAAACTAACGTTTTACGATTGTGTCAATACCATTTTGATCTCGTTTATTTCAGGCTCGCAATGTACATGCCCAACGTCATTTTTCGTCACATCGGTCATATTTTTGACGAACTGTTTACAAGTCTGCCCATTTTAATATGGTAGGGCTAATTGAAAAGTAAACACAATCAATTGAGTATAATTTCAGTTATTTACTGAAAGGAGACTATTTGTAACATTCCTGAAGTGTTCTTTGTGGAATTTAAAGGAAAGATCTCTTTCGCTTTATAAAACCAGGACTTGACGTTTTTTGATTACCTATATAATATAGATGTATCTGTTTATCTGTGGTTCTACCTCACATAAAACCTGAATACTAATTAATTTGTTTATATCATGAAACAAATAGAAAATGCATTTAGGTCTATTACTGGTGGGTTTAGGACCTCGTGTGCGAAGGGGGATCTAACCATCTATAGAAGTATTTAGACGAAATACTATGCATTATTGTATTATTTTTATCCTATCAAATAAGTCCCTTTCGCGCATAAAGCTAATTATATATATATATATTATATATATATATATATAATATATATATGTATATATATATATATATATATATATAGCCCTGCATAAACTGCGGAGATATTGCCAAGTCATCCCTTACATTCGGCAGTATTCTTTTGTTGCTGGTTAAGTCCACCATTACAAATGCTGAAATTCGTAACAATATGGCATATTTAGGAAGGTCCAACAACAGCTTCATACGCTATGTAACAAGAGATTAGCATAATCCGTTAATTATGATTTCTTTCAACGCAAAAATTAAAAACATATAGAATTTCTATTTCAAATAGAATAGATAATTTTGAAACGGTTACGCTAACAATGTACAAATGCTTTTTGATGATGTCGAGTTTGAAGTACGAAGATCGTAAAATGATAGCCCGCCCCATGAGACAAGAGACTTAAATAGCTGATGTCATCTTTCAACATGTTCATTATCTACATGTAACTGTTCGTGTGTCACCGGATAGCAGGGGTAGGAGGAGGAGGGGGGGGGGGGGGGTAGTCCAATGTGGAGCTTGTAGTTGGGTGGTTGTGACAAGTATTATCCATAATTACACGGTGATGTCCCGGCTGATAAACTTCCAAGCAAGCAAGCAGCTAAAACAAAACTAAACAAATAAAAACAAAAACCATACACCTGTACATGCACAAACATCTTAGTGGGTGGAATCCTGTTTACATGTCAGGGAAGTCTCAGGCAAGAGTTTAGAGTCGTTTAACGCTAACTTAATTGCATAACATACGATTATATCAAGTCTAAATATATATATTATTCTTTAATGATATTTGGCTCTTTTTTGTAATAACAATGATTGGTAAACATATATCATTCTAAGCATATTGGCATTCTTTTAAATATACCACTCATGCTTAATTTTGCCGCGTTTACTGCATTACCAAATTCCTACCACAGATTATGGAAAGAAATGTCGAAAACAGTAAGGAATGGATAACAATTTAAGTATCCAGACTTCATCTCCATAGTAACGCATCCAGCCATATCATTTCCTTCAGTTTATGATCAATATGATACCTGTCATATCCTGAGACAAATCTCGCCATCCCCACTACCCCCCCCCCCCCCTTCCTGTGGTAATACAACAGTTTGACGTCTTACAAAATCTAGCCTTTCCAAATGTCTTGTTCAAATCAAGAGCATTCTCCTATAAATCGATTTACCACAGTTAGATATCACTTTCGTTGACACATCCACTTAATTAATTACCTCTCTGGCGAAAAATTAAGCCCAAATTCAGCTGTGCACCACGTGTAGTCGCATACAGCTACAAAAGATGCGCCTTAATATCCTAAAGCGGATCGTCAGAACACCACTTATATTTCATTACCTATCAATTTATCCGGCAAATTAAACTTTAACTAACTAGTTTTCTTTTTCGTTGGGAAGCTGAGGTTGGGATCTGAGAAATTCGGTTAGCCGCTGGATGCAATGTCGTAGTGGTTCTCTTTGTCTGCGCGGGTGATGCCTTTTCCAGACGTTGGCTTTGGCCGAGGCATCGGGGTGATTTTGTGACGTTGGAGGGGTCGAGTGATGACAGAAAAATCTTCTATATATTCTGAAATATACGACAGGTTAGCGTTCTCTCTCCGCCAATTCCCCCCCCCCCCCTCCCCTCCTTCCTCTATCTCTCTCTCTCTGTCTCTCTGTCTCTCTGTCTCTCTCTCTCTCTCTCTCTCTCTCCCCCTCTCCCCTCTCTCTCTCTACCTATCTATCTCTATCTATCGCGTGCGCTCTCTCCCTCTCTCTATATCTATCTATAGGGTGCTCTCTCTCTCTCTCTCTTTCTCTCCCCTCTCTCTCTCTCTATAGATATATAAATACATATATCTCCATGAAACGGTGAATTAAAACATAATAAAGACGCGACTAAAATGAATTTGTAAAACATGAGCGATTACATTAGGGATTTTAAGTAAATTTTCATTTCAAGTTTTAAATAAGATATTACTCTCATCTTTCTGCTTCCACAACCCCTAAACCCTCTTGCTCTCTCTTGCTCTCTCTCCCTCTCTCTCTCTCTCTCTCTCTCTCTCTTTCTCTCTCTCTCTCCCTATCTCGTTCTCTGCCTATCTCTCTCTCTCTTCCTATCTCTTTCTCTGTCTCTCTCTCTCTCTCTGTGATTCTCTCTACCCCCATCTCTTTTTATCACTCGCTCTACCTATATAAATATAATATATCTCCATATCTTCCCCTGTTTCTGTCTCTTTCTTTCATCTGAAGAAGAAAAAAAAAAATCGATCCCCTCCAAATACAGATGAAATTTCCAAATGCTAAGTCCCCCCCCACCCCCCTCCCCCCTCAACGGTTTATTGTAAAGAAAAAGATAACAAATGTTGCAAAGAAAAGAAGATCATATGGTGATTATAACCGTAACGACAACGACCTCCGCGGATCATTGCTTATCCAAACAAACTTCAATAACTCGGTGGAAACGTCCTTTGTTAAACTACACGCAAGGTCAAA